CGGTGTTAGCTGTCCTTTCTGTTTCCGCATGTGCCAGTCATAATAACACAATAGTATAGGTGAGAACAGAGATAGCGTGCTTGGCTTCCATACTTGGTGTAAATAGAAAAACACATTATTCTGAGAGAATGCTTCAGTAGATGATTTCATTTGCATTTTGTGAGCTTTTCTGGCTGTAAAAACTGACATAAATGTGTCAGTGGCTTACATATAAAGGAAAAGTTCACTTTTAGAGAAAACATAAATATCCTATATAATTTCTACACAAGCCGTTATGTAATTTAATGTTATTTAAATAATACCTATCCATTCCAATCTTTGAGCAGGTTTTATTTTCTAAAAATACCAAAATAGATGTCATGTTGCAGTATGGCACTCTGAGGCAGTCTTCAATCTGTGTATACAGTGAGGAACAGAAGTATTTGAACACACCTGCAACTTTGCAAGTTCTCTCACTTAGAAATCATGGAGGGGTCTGAAATTTACATTGTAGGTGCATTCCCACTCTGAGAGACAGAATTAAAAAAAAAATTCAGGAAATCACATTGTATGATTTTTAAAGAATTTATTTGTCTTGCACTGCTGAACATAAGTATTTGAACACCTAAGAAACAGCAAGAATTCTGGCTCCCAAAGACCTGTTACTGTGCCTTCAAAAAGGCCACCTCTACTCCACTGATTAATCTAATTTAGTGGCACCTGTCTGAGCTCTTTAAAGACACCTGTCCACCCCACAGTCAGTCAGACGCCAACTACTACCATGGGCAAGACGAAAGACCTGTCAAAAGACACCAGAGACAAAATTGTGGACCTCCACAAGGCTGGAAAGGGCTATGGGGCAATTGCCAAGCAGCTTGGGGAAAATAGATTAACTGTGGGAACAATTGTTAGAAAATGGAAGAGGCTAAAGACCACTGTCAGTCTCCCTCGGACTGGGGCTTCATGCAAGATCTCACCTCGTGGGGTATCACTGATGATAAGAAAGGTGAGGAATCAGCCCAGAACTACAAGGGAGGAGCTGGTCAATGACATGAAGAGAGCTGGGACCACAGTTTCAAAGGTCACTGTCGGTAGAACACTATGCCGTCATGGTTTCAAATCATGCATTGCACGGAAGGTTCCCCTGCTCAAGTCATCACATGTCCAGGCCCGTCTGAAGTTTGCCAGTGACCATCTGGATGATCCAGAGGAGGCATGGGAGAAAGTCATGTGGTCAGATGAGACCAAAGTAGAACTTTTTGGTCTAAACTTCACTCATCGTGTTTGGAAGAAAAAGAAGGATGAGTTGCATCCCAAGAACACCATCCCTACTGTGAAGCATGGGAGTGGTAACATCATGCTTTGGGGGTGCTTTTCTGTGAAGGGTACAGGACGACTACACCGTATTAAGGAAAGGATGAATGGGCCCATTTATTGTGAGATTTTGAGCAACAACCTCCTTCCCTCAGTCAGAGCATTGAAGATGGGTCGTGGCTGGGTCTTCCAACATGACAAGGACCCGAAGCACACAGCCAGGATAACCAAGGAGTGGCTCCGTAAGAAGCATATCAAGGTTCTGGAGTAGCCTAGCCAGTCTCCAGACCTAAATCCAATAGAACATCATCTTTGGAGGGAGCTGAAACTTCGTGTTGCTCAGCGACAGCCCAGAAACCTGACAGATCTAGAGGAGATCTGTGTGGAGGAGTGTGCCAAAATCCCTGTTGCAGTGTGTGCAAACCTGGTCAAGAACTACAAGAAACGTTTTACCTCTGTAATTGCAAACAAAGGCTTCTGTATCAAATATTAACACTGATTTTCTCAGGTGTTCAAATACTTATGTTCAGCAGTGCAAGACAAATAAATTCTTTAAAATCATACAATGTGATTTCCTGAATTTTTTTTTAAATTCTGTCTCTCGGAGTGGGAATGCACCTACAATGTGAATTTCAGACCCCTCCATGATTTCTAAGTGAGAGAACTTGCAAAACCGCAGGGTATTCAAATACTTCTGTTCCTCACTGTATATCCCTACCCTCATTCACCCAGAGACACCCAGAGATGTGCTGCTTGTGCAAAAGAGTTACAGAAAGTTGCACACATAATATAACCTACATAACCTCATAGGTCCTATAGCACTACCCCCTTAGGAGTCGCTGAGTTATTTTCGGGCTCACTGTCATTCTGGACCCCTCTCTGAAAGCCCAACCCCTGCTGACACCACAGTACTCTTCTGACCAAAGTAAATTATCACCAGAAAATAGACTCACACACAGATTAGAGTGAACTGATATGATGTTTATATTAAACTTGACTGTAAGCTTGATCAAACAGTATAAAGTGGTATATATGTATGTAATGGCAATTGTCACTCTTAGCAACTCTAAGCAAAGAAACAACACATACAGCAAAATTTCAATTAGTGTTGGTAGGCCTGCTATTTGGAAGTTAACCCAAAACCTCCAACCTGAGGTGTTTCTAGTCCCCAGTGAGCAAGGAAATTATCAAAGATTGAACTATCAGCTCACATTGGGCCCGCAGGATCTGATGGCGAGGTTTAAATCTGAGATAGGAAAGAGCTTTTTAACTAGGGTGGTCAATGACCTCTCTAAATGCAGTGAGGAATCTTCTGTGCCCTCATCAGGGCCCAGTTGGTGCACTACAATGATCCAGACCTTTTAAGTGGGAAGAGATAAAGGTGACAGTACCTAAAATGATTAGTACAAGGAAAAGAAGAAGTAAGGACAAGTACTATCCATTTAAGTGGCACTTGACTTGGGTGGTATCTTTTCAATGTACTGAGAAAGTTGCACATTTTAGGCAAAAAGGTGTCAGAAGTTGGCAGCAGCACTTGCTGGCAAAGGGCAACTCCTCTCTGAGCTGCAGTAACTAAGGATAGTCCTGGTAGATGTTCCTTTAAGAGGGTAGGTCCGATGTTTAAGTGAACAATGATATGGTTTGGCTTGCAGAAGACATGCACTGCAGTCAGCTCTGATGTTTGAAATGTGCTGCAAATGTGTTCAGTAGTAGCAGTCAGGGGAAAACGTGTTAACTATGTGCAATGTCTGCAACTGTGTGCAGGAAAGTGGAAGATTTGAAAGGAATGTCAGTATTCACTTGTTTGGTTGGTGTGGGGGACTCTCTCACCCTCTTGGTGATTTCCAGCATGTCTTGGCAGTCTTTCTCTCTCAGCAGATGGGGGCCCCCACAGGTTCTTTGGCCTCACTTGCAGCATTGCATCCGGGCACTGCACTCCTGTTCACCTGCTGGCAGAATGTCTCACTGAACAGGGTGGCAAGGCTGGCAGTCAGTGACTCCTCCTTGTCTCTCACTTCTATAGCTCTGTGGCCTGGTCCGGTACTTCAGCCGCCACCACAACTCTACCTCTCCACTTCTGCTCTCCAGCATTCTCACCTCTCACTTTCTGTCCAGTTTCCCATGCTTCTGTAAATAAATGCCCCTCGCCCACATGCCAGGTCCTCTGGGAAATGTAGTCCTCTGATACACTGCTCCTCAGCAAAGTCCTGCGGTTCAGAATACAAGGTCCATGAGGCTCTTCTACAGAGTGTAAGTGCCACTGAATTGCAGGACACTGCCATCTTGTAATTCTCTTGTGTCAAAAAGAGTAATTGTAATGGAAAATTAAGCAGTATCTCACTCACATCAAGGTAAGTATCATAGAGCATGGTAAGTGTCTACAGATCAAAGTGCCAAGGAATCCTGAAGTTTGAAAATTGCTGTTGGGCTGTCAGATATAAAGCCAGCACTGAACTTCTAAACCTGCTCTATCGCTGACATACTGTATACGGCTTACACGGCTGCTGAGAAACCGTATAGAAGAAAGGGGGTCCTGTGCATTAGAGGCAACAAGTTTCAGGGCCCTGCCATTTTGTCAAGCCTTCCTGCACCCTGTTTACTCTTTTCTTGTTTGCACCTGCTTGTGTGATAGTCTAATTTTTTCCCAGAAATATGTCCAGAACTTAATGAATATGTAAACCCAGCATTTCATATCCCTGATACGTGCTTGATGTACCATGTACGGTTCTTTCCTCCAATGATCAGGCTTTTCCTGACACCCCCCCACAGCCATTCACTGGGAATGCCAGTGTACTGCTGCTTCTCCTACCTTAGCTCTTATGCAGCTGAGAATAGAGGATAATCACTTATATAAAAAGGGGGAAAAAAGGTGTATAAAAGGTTTTATATCTATACACAAATGTTTTGCCTTTCATTTCTATTTTAATGAGTTGTTTTACAAGATGAAGGCTTATAATCACTTTAGGACTCATTCACACCATGGTGCAGAGCCATCAGTTTTTTCTGCACGCATTCTGGAATGACACAACAAAATCAATTGTTCTCTATATGTCCTGTTCACACCACAACATGAGTATCATGTGAGATTTTTTCTGCACATGAATCTGTAACGTGTATAAAACTCCTTATAGCATGCATAAAAAACTGATGCCTCTGTAAGTGAAGTCTGCGTGTCAGTTTCCATCAGTTTTTTCTGCACGTATGGCCTTACAGTCTTATGATAGCTATCCATTCTGTAGGAGTTTCTTTTTTGGTGAGATACTTTTTAAGACCCTTTGAAACTAAAAGAGATGGTGTTCTTATCATATTACAAGAGAAAAACTACTTTGGTGTGTAGATAATGATGGTAGAGCTGCCTAGTGAGTAATCGGTTTGAAAATGCTTTCTTCAGAACAGAAAGGTAAGAGTTCACGATACAGTTTGCTAGAAGCCTTGCAATGTATACAGTTCATTTGGAAATGTATTGTTTTTTTTTCATTTCAAACAACTAGAGCTACAAATGTTAACAATTTTTTGTTAGAATGGAATTTTCCTAATGTTTTTCGATGTATGTGCTGTAACAAATAATTATGATAATTATATATAATTATATACACATTCATAATTGCAAATATTTAGAATATAATTATAATTTGCCTGGAATTTTAAATATATCTTTAAAATATTACATTAAACAATGACATAATATCTAAAAATGAATTTATGTTTTAGGGATAAAGACTACCATCTGCGAACGTATAAATCAGTGGTTATGGCAAACAAGCTGATAGACTGGCTTATAGCTCAGGTAAGAATTGTTTATATATGACTACGACCTGGATTTATCAATACAATTTAAAACACAGAAACCAAACTAAGTTTGGTTTTAATATCAAAGTAGAATTAGATCACTATAGGTTACTGTATATCATTCTTTTTCTATATGGTATTAATATTCTTTTTATAAAAATCTAGCAAATGACCCTAAATTGTATGTAAATACTTTTTTTTGTCTTTTGGTTTTTTTTTAGTTTTGGATAGAACAGTGCAGGATTAGACATTTTGTCAAGTTTTTATTACTTTCTGCATCTCCAGTAAAGCCGGCCATGGAAGGAGTGATTTTCTTTCCTGCAACCACGGGTTGTATAACAGAAAATCGCTCATTCCACCAACAACATTTTACTAATCAAACATCCTTCCCGCTGAGCCATTGTGTTTTCTCAGTAGGGGGCCCCCCGCCATCCCTGCTGGGAGAACACAGTAATTACTGCTAGCGGCGGTAACAGCCACTAGCAATAATCGCATGTAAATCTGGCAGGCTGGTTGTACCCAAGTTGATTGATTGATCAACTTGGGTACATTCAGTCTGCCCATACATGGTTCGAATCTCGGTCAGTCCCTGCTGACCTGGCTGAGATTCAAACTGTCTATAGCCGACTTAAGGAGAGACACCCATGTCTTTGTCCTGGAAACCATTGTCACTGAGACAGATTGTGATAAGAAACACTACCTTTTAGAGTTGTCACCAGAGCAAAAGGTATGGGAAATTTACCTAAGGTGAACAAATGTTCCCATGATAATTGTCTAAGGTGGGAATTCACCCCACTTTCTGGAGACTTCCTTTTATTTCCTATGGTGTATCCAGGACAAGAACCAAAAGAAAATAACCCCAGCGGGTATATAGACAACAAAAAACAGCTTGACGGGTTTTAACACCTTCCTACTCTATCCAAAATTAAATAAAAATATAAAGTTTTGGCTACACAGACACTTCCCTACAGTATGAAACATACAATAAGCTAGCGTAATAGGAAAGACTGATAGCCACTTTGACTTGTGCCTTAATGCAGCTTTAAAGCAGAATAGTTTTGGATAGAGCATGTACGGGTTGGACCCTCCAGTGGGTTTTTATTGATTTCTGTTTCGCCACTGATAATATTTTAACTTACTGCACTCTCTGTGTGGTTATCAAAACAGAAAGGAAACACAGACAGTGACAAAAAAATCTTTATTTTCTTTAGCATGAGGAAACATTAAAACCACTGTCAGCTTGTAAAGCATCAAAACCCAAAAACGTAAAGGTAATGCATTGCAGCTTACCAGTTCTTAGATGAGGTATCTGCATTGGTTTTCTTTTTTGTAAAGGGATTTTTTCCTCTTATTTTCACCTGATAATCTTGCAAATAACAATCTTGTCCATTTTTGTCTATTTTTTCCATTCTATCTATAGGGGATGTTATGGTTGTTACACAGGCTGAAGTTGTCTGACTTTGCTAATCTCTCTTACATGGAAGATTGATAGCCATCCTTGCTATCCCTGCCAGGAGAACACAGTGATTACTGCTACTGACTATAATAGCTGCTAGCAATAATCACATGTAAAATCCGTCAGGCTGGTTGTACCCAAGTTGATCGATCAATCGACTTGGGTACATTCAGCCAGCCCATACATGGTTTGAATCTCAACTAGTCCTGGCTGAACTGGCCAAAATCTGAACCATCTATGGCCAGCTTTAGACTGAAGGTTTATGATATCTATTAAAATGAGACTGAGATGTGGTTTGTGTTAGATTCTGCTAATTCTGTCACATTCTGATTAGGATGCTTGGAGTGCAGCTAAAAGTTTGTTAATTGTATAAGATGCCTTATTGGGTTTATGTATAGGGGATCTCTGCTGTTATATGTCTCCTATTGTTACAAAATGTCATGGCTGACTTAGGAAACCTGAACAACATGGCTGCCCTGGTCCTCTGATACAGCTTTTTGGGGTTCCATTCCCAGTCTACATTATCATCCCAGGGCTCATAGAAAAACAAATGTTTGTTCTATCTTTTAAGCTCACGGAATTGACAAGGACACTGCATTTTTGGCAAGATCAATAGGTATTTCCTGTACTTGCTGAAAATCTTTTTAGTCTGATAAAAAAGAAAACTAATGCAGACAAAACATCTAAGGACTAGTAAGCTGCAATATAATATAGTTTTTGCTTTAAGGTTTAGAATTAACAAATATTAATTGTTCTACCTATCATAGAATTGTGATTACAGGCATATGCTTGTCTTACTGTATCTAGTAATATTTGTCTCATAAAACAGGATTTATTGCTCATGTGATATAAAATTTTATTTTAGCTGTACACTAAATATATCAGTTACTTTTATTATATATGATTATATATATATATTGCAGGGAGACTGCCGGACAAGAGAAGAAGCCATCATTCTTTGTGTGGCACTATGTGACAATGGATTTATGCATCATGGTATGACAATGGATTTATCCTCTTGTATCTCAGTTGCACAGTGCAGAATGTATAGCAGTTTAATTACGAGGAAATATTTTACAAGGATTAAAACAAATGCAGTGTGGTGGGGTACAAATTTACTAATAGACACAGTAGGCCTGTGTTAATATGTGGCAGAGGCAAAGAGGGACCTTTTCTATGTATCAATACTGGTTGCCCTTTTATATTTCAACATCATCATCATCATCATCAGTGGAAATACAGTCATCTTATATAAACATAATTACACACTCTCACAATATTATAAGCCTTTTTAGGAACGTTAAAAGAAAATCTTCTAAGATTACCATAAAAAAAAGGGGTGTTCGTAAGGGTGCCAGAAATTGTGTGTTTACAGGCTCTGGTCATGGAGATCCAGCACTGCATGTGCTACTTTAGATGTTAATATATTTTCTTGTATGTCAGTAAATATAGTGTAAGGTAATAAGTAAAGCAAGATGTATAATTAATAACATGTTGTAATTAAAGCAGATTATAGTCTTGAGACAGAATTTTTTGTTGATTCTAATTTGTGGTCTCCACCAACAGGGAAGGCTTTGGGGGGATAAGGATCAACATCATAAATGGGGTAGCCAAAAACTTGGTGATAAATATATTTGTAAGCGCATAGTTTTTGTAAACTAATTTAACTGATTTCTGTACATCAGTAGTGTGCACTAGTCTTAAGTATGCAGTTTCAGATATAATGCTATTTATAAGGTACCTTTAAATCTGGATGGATGAGTTACAGTTCCAACTTTACCTTTAGTTTTAAAATATGCCACTGCAGGTCCACATCTTGGGAGAAAACAAGGCTGCATGAGATGAGAACCTCCATCGGTCAGTGGTTGTGTCATTCCATTGGTACCGTATATGAAAATTAGCAAAAGAATAGTTTGTGATATCAGAAACTCCTAGAAGAATGGGTTTAAAACAGGGGAGTATCAGATGTGAGGATAGTTCTTGACTATAATGAGCCCAGTCTCTTTTGAAGCTGTTGTGACACCTCTGGTTTTAATGCTTCTTTAATAGTTAAATGAAAGGTATTACATTTTTGTGCCTCACACACAGACCCCAATACCTGAAATGGGCACACTTAGTGCTATTTGTTCTTAAACAGATGGGCAAAGGAGTCTAACAAAATAGGTTTTATATTTTAAATTAAAGTAAATAAAGCATTCTAAATCAACTGCATTTCTAAAAGAAATGATTAAAGTGTTACTAAACCCATGACCCTGTATTCACTATATCTGGTCTCCCACAGTACACAGAACATGGATTTGCAATTATTTTGGTAAATATAAACTGCTAAATACCTTTTCTCATCAGCAATTAGAGCAGTCTTGTGACTTTTATCAGTGTCCAGCAGAGCACTGGTAGTCCTGTAGGAGGAGTTTTTATTCTCCTCTGACTGTCTTATAAGGGTGCAACCCCTGACCCACTGCCTGGGCAGTGCTGATTGGCCCTGTGACGATCACATGTACCCTCCAAAAAAAAGAAAATTCTCTAGCAATCCAAACTGAACATGTTCAGAGTGTCTCCTACGGCTGTGTACCATCAGCAGATGGACTGAGGACTGTGGAAGATAGGGAGAATCAGGGAGACAGCCTTTTTACATAATACAGAGGATTAACCACTTAGGTTCCACATTGAGTATAACAATCATGCTTTACTCCATATACAGACTGATTTTACTGTTGCGGGTTCAGTAACACTTTAAATGCCAACCCAATAGAATATTAAAAGGAATGAGATTACTTATAGACCGCCAAAAAAGTAAAAAAAAACAGTAGTTCACACTATCACAAATGTGATGGCCCATGACATGGAGGCCCCAAATGTATTCTCTTCTGCATCATTGAAATGTCAGAATAAAAGGAGACCATGTCTGATCAAGTTTAAGATGGTTGTCCAGGTGGATTAAAAGAAAAACATACATGCCTCAAATGAAGTCATGGCATCTGATATCCATAGTTATTTTAGTTCAGTGTGACTCAGAAAGTATTAAAGCCTTTGTTATCAGCATGACAGCCATGCTACCAGCATTCTCAAAAGAGGTCGTCAGTAGATTCCTTGCTATTTTCTTAGTACTTAAAAGGGTATTGAAGATCTATGGCTATGTAGAGATTCTACCTTGTCCTTGTGTCAAGGTGTGTGTGTGTCCTTGTGTTCTTTCAGTGGTTCTTGCTTTTTTAATTAGGTCAAAATGTGCTGAACATTTCTGTTTAAATGATATTCTACACAATTCCTTCTTCACCTTTATGTTACACAACAACTACAGCTGTGTGCAGTGCCTATATTATCTTTCTGTTTAATTTCCCTGATCTGCACCTGTTCAGTATTGGAGAAGAGCGAGTTCAAAGATGAGCCTCTGTTGTTTCGATTCTTCTCTGATGAGGAAATGGAAGGTTCCAATATGAAGCACAGACTCATGAAACACGACCTAAAGATTGTGGAGAATGTTATCGCTAAATCTCTCTTGGTAAGTTCTCACATTGCAACCTGAGCTATCTGGTTTTTGTTGGGGCAAGTTAGGAGTACATAGATGGCAAGTACTTGCTTCTAACACATGTAGAGATACAAATACATAAATGATCAATAAAACATTAAAGTGATATTAAACCCTCAGTTTTAATGTTCAGCAGCTGATTTAATCACTTGCTAATTATGCAGCTTCTTTATCTTTTAAACCTTGTTCCAGCTGAAGCTGGTGCCATGATCACTGCCCCAGGTTTCCTGTTTCACGGTGGCACCTTTTTCTTGTTGAGTCTTATGGAGTCACTCTTGCATGCAGGGACTAGAGCAGTGTCTCCCTACATCATTAGAAACACACAGTCTCCTAGTCTAGGATGGCAAGGCACTCCCCAGCTCTCTCTTTCCCCCATTGGGCTATCTTTGACAGCATTAGGGCACAGAGAAAGCTTTTCCCAGTCAGGCTTTGCAATTACAAGACATAGATGGCATTTTGGTGGGGCTGAGCAACAGATTTCTGGACAGCTAGAGCACTACTAGAGGTATGCTATGCATTTATCAAGGTACATGTGTTATATGGCTATTTAATGTTCATTCTTGGGTGGCTGTATGTGCATGGTGACTAGATATATGAATATATGCCTACTGGTAGCTTTAATATCTAAATATGTGCCTGTTTCTGCTAAAAGGAAAACAATAATTTTTGTGGTTTTGCAGATAAAACCCAGTGATGGAAGCTATGGCTTTGGCCTGGAGGATAAAAACAAAGTACCTATAGTAAAATACATTGAAAGGGGATCTAATGCTGAGGTAAAAGAGCACTTTTAAAAAATGTAAATGTGTAAGGAATGTATAGTTCTTTATTTGGTAAATATATTGCTTTTAGTTTTGAAAACCGTTAGGATTCTTTCACACAGTGTGGAGTCTGCTTTGTTCAGCTGGAGATCTGTCTGTGGATCCCCCACTGAGCAGAGCAGAGCAGAGCAGACCCATGACAGATCTGTGCCACTCTGTTTATACAGGTCGGACACAGACACAGCCCACTCTACTCTATGGAGGTCGGGTGTGAACGGAGCTGCTGTGACCAATGTATTAAAGTGTGACCAATGTCACTACACTATGGTTCTACATACCTCAGAGACATTGCAGCATGGTGGTTTGTGTTGCATTGCTTGCGGTACTGACACAAAGCATTTGGTTTTTTCTTTGTGTTGGGGCTGAATTGGAAATTGCTGCCAACATAGCCCCAACACATCTATTGTGAACAGGCCCTTAAACTAGCTGCAATTGTTTGTCTGAGGAGTCCTTAGTATACAAAAACTGTCTACCATTGAGAGATTTTCATTTCAGAATCATTTACATCCTCTGAGCATGTAAACTAATCAGAAATGGATTTTGCCTATTTTGTAAATGATTCATATTTTCCCGTTCAGTATAAGCCAGCTATATTTCATCTTATCCAGCTCATCAGTTAAAATTTATTGCTCTGTTCAATAAGAGAAAAATCTTGAAGTATAACAGCAATTATCTTGCCTAATGTAGCACGGAATACACAGCTGCGGTATTTTGTTGTTGTAACACATTGAACCCTTTTAATTTATTGTGGAGTAAAATAACTATTTCTGTCGTCTTTGCTTCCAGTTGTCAGGAATGGCAATCGGGAAAAAAATCTATGCTGTGAATGGTGACCTTGTTTTCCGGAGGCCGTTCCATGAAGTGGATTGTTTTCTGAGGACTTGCTTGAACAGCAGAAAACCTCTAAGGATTCTCATGAGCACAAAACCCAGAGAGTAAGTTACCCCCCCCCCACACACACACACTCACCATATTTTCTATATAAAGACATAGACCAAACACACCTTGGATTTCCTTTCAAAGGTTCTTTCTGTATCTGTGGAAAATGCTAAATTAGTAGGAATATCATTTAAAGCACAAGTGGACACTGTCAGCTATTCATATGTAGAGAGATCAAAAAGTCCCAGCATGCTATTGTTTGACCCACATTATAGAAACTATACACAAATGTTGTTCAGTAATTAACTACAGCATATTAGACCTTTTGGCTTTTTTACAGTCCATTCAGAAGAAATATTCATGCTGAGTTGTAGCACCATCCTACGTAGGTGTTAGGATTTTGTGTACTTAAGATAAGCATAGCTGTGTTTCTCTGATGAACAGAGAGACTATTAGGAAAATCTAATTGGGCTCTCTGCTTAATAGAGTGCTGTGATGGATTATTCAGGTCTGCTCTTGATGCTGTGGTGCTGCTGAGTTTGTCTGAGTTCTGCCCGCCTTAAGGAAGCTACGAGAGCCTTCTTGAACATAGGTAGGGACTAGGCAAATGAACAGCATGAATATGGATACACCCTGGCCAATTGCAGGGGAGGGTATCCCCACTGCTTGCTGGGAGTGGTATTTATGTTCTGTGAACACATGGGTTTAACATCTTTCCCAGAACAGGATTGAACAAGCCAGGCTTGCCTCACCTGGCACTGGCTGCCATGCAGCCTCAGGTGTGTCAGCATGAGGGCATCAAGAGTGACCCTGGTTCTACAGTAAGCTGACTGAGGGGAGCTGTCTGTCAAAGCTCTGTCTGCTATCAGGGGAGGGTTTCGCTTTGAAGATTGGCAACCATTCTGTCCTTGGGCCTTGTGAGTACAAACATTGAGGAATTTGGGGATTCTGTGTGTTTGCTACCCCCCGATGCTTGATAGTCAGCCTGGATCTGAAAGGAAAGGGAACATTGGCTAGTGTTCTGAAGAGCTTGTCCAAGTGTTGCTGCTGTAAAAGACTTTGCTCAGCTACGTTAGCTTTGGGCTGTCAGTCTGTCATGACTGGGCTGTATCTGAGGAGTTCAGCCCTGTAACTACTACTACTGTAAAAAAGGGACTTTGCTCACTCCTAAACTACTTGCTGCTAAAGGTTAAAGGAAAGTTTGCTATCTGCATCAGCCAAGACATCAACAGTGCTCAGCCAAGAGATCAGCTATATGTACTCAGTGTGAATAGTTTTGATTTTGAAGTATCCTACTAAATTCCCTATCCCCAGTTCTATAATAAAACTCCAAAAACAAACATCCCCTAGACTGGTCATTGAAGACAACAAGCGAAAGTGTGTGTACCTAGTTGTGGGAAATACCTTGTGTCTGGCTGCGGGGTGAAGAAGGGGGAAACCTGGGCAACAAGCACAAGCGGCCCTTATGAGGGTGGTGCTACACATATATAAAAAGAGTAGTTTTCTTTAGATGGATGTAAAGTTTTTATAATGAACCTAATAGAGTATATTTTTGAAAGCTTTCATTGTTATCTAGCTTTAGGGATGCAAACTCCAGGACTACCATACCAGTCTCTGTTTACTACCGAATCACTGGCCTGGAAGTAGTACGACAAGTGGAAATAATGACTAATGGCATACTGGTTCCAATTTGATGATGTGTAGCACCCTCCTAGATAGGTGCTAGGTTAGGTAAATGTAGTTACTGTTATTATTTTGGCCTGTTCTGTGTTTTACTGGCTGCGGAGTTGACTGCTTCCCCTGTCTAAATCAAAAATTCAGACCTCCATAATGTCTCATCCAGTCATGTACAAGCAGAAAATAATTCTGGGAGGACATCCTCACAAAATATTGGACTTTACTGACACATCAAGAGACAACAAGTAAAACCATTGAAAACCTTTATTACAATATATCATCTAAAACATAAACCATACATGCATAAAATGGACACCAAATGTTGTCTCATAGAGTTTTATGGTCTAAAATATACCCAAAAAGGATTAGTACAACATAAGCTATACATATGTAGTACACCAACCAGGGTAAGTATGGTATATAGGTCCAAATCCAAGGTCAGTGCATTTTGCATATGACCATAAATTATGGGGTATAAGGCTCTAATGAATAAAGGAAAAATACAGTATTACCAAACAATATTGTACAGATAGCATTTATAATTCATCACGATCAATAATTGCAGATACATTCAGAGTATGCTTACAATAAAAATGGCTGCTTGGCATCATGTGTAACAAGCCTAGGGGGCGGGCACAGGGGCCTTAGACCCCTAATTTCCCGAACGGCCCAAGTGCATAGCAGGATATACTCCCAAAAGATCTTGAGAAAGTATAAAATAAAAACATAAAGTAAATGTATGATAAGGCTCCTAAACAAAAGGACTATGTGAGAAAGGATACTCGCCTAATAATATAAATTTATACAAATGTTGATGTATGTTAGCCGCACATTAGTGGGTAACAGGCCTCCCAAAGCCAGATGCCAAAAAACTATATTAGTAAGGACCTACAGTATAAAAACATCTAGAAGCTAAAGTAAGAATAGAAAAATAGTATATTAATCAAAAGAAAAACCCTCCCCTCTCTGTACTGTATTTAGAGGGGGAAAGAATATAGCTATGGGCATCTATATGTTACATACATCAAAGCCAATCGGCATCTTCAGGAGAAGCCTGCTTTTGATATATTCATTTAAGACTGTTGGTGGTTGCTTACGATTTTAAAATCACTTTAATGAGATATCATTTAGACAGCGTTGTGTATGAGTTAATGTATTTTCTTAAAATTTGACTGCAAAAGTAGAAATATATTTTAAGGGGTTTAAGGGCAGCTGTGTTCTCCAAGCAAAATGGAACCAGGTGTTGGGACAATATATCTCCAGAATACATTAAGAGTTACATAATCAGTGACCACACAGTGGCCGAAATATTAACACGCTGGATCAGTAGAAGCTGGGGTGGAAGGAGCAGAGATGGAGGGCAAATTTAAATGTAAGTCTTCCATAATGTGCAAGCATCTTGCAGTTTAGTTCCACTTTAAGATATAAGTCGGCCTGGGACAGAAATCAATAATTATCAGTGTAAAGCATGTTAATTAGCATTACATTGAGATTTCTAATTCATACAACTTGGTATAAACTTTGTGAGACTAGCATTCTTGAGAAACATCATAGATTCTTAGACACTCATAACCTTATTAACTATTGATTTATGTTGTAAAGATTTTCTTATTTACTCCTGTTTGGTCTGCTAAATATACCATTGGAAGCATTTTTGGTATATTTGTTTAAGTGTGAAGTTTCACCCAAAAGTGGAAGCTGTGCTTGTCTACCTCCCCCCCCCCCCCCCTCCACTGCCACATTTGGCACCTTTTGGGAGGGGAGGGGGGAGCGGGTACCTGGAAGGTACCCGCTCCCACTTCTGGCTCAGTTCGCCATGGCAAGCTGAGTTGTAAGTTGCACCCCTCCTCCCAGAGGACTGCGGCCCATTCACAAGGTGCAGCGTGATTCGCACATGCGCAGTAGGAAACAGCTGTGAAGCCGCAAGACTTCACTGCCAGGGTGAAGACACCACTGGATCCCTGGACAGGTAAGTGCTAATATTATAGTCCTAATATTAAAAGTCAGCAGCTACAGTATTTGTAGCTATTGACTTTTAATTTTTGGGAGGGGGGAGGATGCCGGAACTCCTCTTTAAGTGTAAAACAATACCTGTTGATCTTGGCAGAAATTCAGAGCTATCCTCAGAATGTCTGATTATCCCTCCCTGTTCTTATCATGAACTTCAAAATGATCTGCCTTTATGTTGTAGAGATCTGAGACTGGAAGTGGTTGATTAGTTTAGCAAAATACTCTGGGCAGAACTGACACCACTCAGTCCAGAAACATACATGTGTTGCCAGCCCACAACAGGACTTAAGAGCCGAGTGCGTTTCTGGCAGATAATGATGTATTATTCTGTAATTCCAGGGTCGTTACAAGGATAAAACACAAGAGAATTTGCACATTATGCAGAGATGTGCTGTATTTTTTTTATTATTTTATCTTAACATATGCCTTTCAGATCATGGGCAGGGCTGCACAATACACTGTACATATCCACAATGATTAAATGTATACATTTCTAAAATGAGTGGCCTTTTGGCTTTCTAGACCAGTGGGGACTTGGATACAGTTATCTATACAATGTAGTAAACATTAATTTCTTCAAAATGCCTCAGTGTCCCTATCTAAGTGCAATTCCAGAGTATGCAGTATACCTCTTGCTTCATTTTTAAAATGACCCTGCCTCTACCTCATGCTGCTGAACTCTATAGCAGTCACACAGCTTCCATGGTTATTGTCGCTCCTTGGCAAGAGTTACTGGAAAGTCTGTTTGCGTTACTTCAATACCATAGATCTTTGGCATTACAATGTACGAGTTTAACAGATTAAGTAGTGGACAATTTAATGAGATTGTGTAATTGTTTAAAATAACGGTTCATTTCTAATGTTTCATAAATAGTTTATTGGCAAGGGAACAATGCTATGGTGTAGAATTTGCTTAAATATTTTGTTTAGTTTTAAGTCCAATCAATAGTAAAGCTGCTGTAAGGAAGGTCAGATGCTGCTTCCTATGGTGAATCATAATTGGATGCAGTGTTTGCATGCTTCAGGGACTTGCGCTGGGCTGATGGAAGTCTTATGCTAAGAAATAACACAGCTATATAATCAGTATACAGTGGGCAACAGAGTGTATGAATTGTATACTTGTTTTTTATATAAAAATTAAATGTTCATGTCAAACATTTTTTTTGTATTTAACTTGTAAATTGGATGCAAAACCGTTTCTTGGTTAAAAAAAGCCCTGTCACCATTTAAACACACAAAATCCCTATACTCATAGGCTTCATTGAAAACCTAAAGGTGGAGTTGAGGCCTGCTGGTGCCAGTGGCGCCAGAGGTGGACATGTGAGGTGAGTGTTCCTGAGCCAATTCTCCCAAACAAAGTAACGCCAAT